CATAACTAACGCGACCACTAAAACTAACTCAGCGGCTAAACTAACTCGGCAGCTAAAACTAACTCAACTCGGCTGCTAAAACTAACTCTGTGGCTAAAACTAGCTCTGCGACTAAAACCAACTTGGGGGCTAAAACTAACTTAGTGGCTAAAACTAACTCTGCCTCTCATGAATCCAGCTCTAGCTCCAACCTGACCTTTTTCAGAGGATCTTTTCACTTCTTGGTTCTCTCTCCTCTGCTGTGGACCTGTTGAGCTCCTTCTTCTGGCTGTGGGTGCAGAGGAATGTCACTCTGCTCAAATGTCAGAAGGAGAAGATGGGCTGAACAGGGACAGAACCAGAACTAGGTGGGGCCTGTCAATAATCTGTGTTGAGGCTCAACAGCAGGGGGATAACGCCAGGCTTTGTCTGGAATAATGACAGCCAGGATGAGCAGGTGTCGTACAGACAGAGAGCAGGACAGCAGCCTGAAAACTTCCCGACAACTCCTCCGTCAGACTCGAGCTACAGAACTGTACTTCCTTTCTTTATCCTCCGGCGGAGCAGCGGGGATTCCGCAGCTCTGGGGCCGCCTCTGAGCGCTCCCCGCCCGGTCTGCTCGATCGGCAGGCCCCGCTGTCATGGATGTCCCGGTGCGAAGGGAAACATTAACGTCTCTACGGGTCAGAACCAGACACAGAGTCGGTCAGACAGCCTCTGGGATACCGCCCAGCTGTCTAACATCTGTTAGCCCCTGTCTGTCTGTCTGTTCTGTCTGTCAGCCGGTCGGTCGCTTCCGCAAACCCAACCCAGCCCGGTTCGGCCCGGCCTGCTCCCGCCTAACTGCACCGGTCTAATGGTTAGTCTACATTTATAAATTAAAAGAAGAAAATGGTTCAAAAAAGAAAGGGAGAAAAAGGGAGAAAGAAGTAAAGAACTCACCGTCATCCACTCGTCCGCTCTGCTGCGCGTCGCTCTCTCTCTCCCGCTGTGTGTGAGCGTCGCTCGACCAGAGCCGCTCCCTCCTGCAGCCGCCGCTTGATGACGTCAAGGCAGACTCGGTGACCCGCAGAGCTTCCGGCCAAGCTTTTCAAACAAAAACCAACCACCGAAACAAAATAAATTAAACGTGACGCAGAGTCTTATTAAAAACTGTTGTAAGTAAAAATAAAATATTTATTAAATTAAAAACTCTCGCTAGTAAAATATTTAAGATTTTACTTAAAGCCTGAGCCGAAACTTTCCTATGTTTATTTTGTTAAATAATCATCTTTAAAGGTTTTTAGTCAAATTAATATTTTTCCTCGAGTTACAGTACAATTACTATTTAATTTTGTCACAGTTCATGTTTTTTTTTAACGTTCGTTTTCTTTTATGCATGTGTTTTATTTTGAACGATACCACCTGTACTTCCGCTTTGTCTCTAACTTTTAATAACTGAGCTCGAGGCTTTTTCTTCTTTTCTTGTGACGTTCGCGCTTCCTGGAGTAAAAATATTTGTTTTACAAAATAAAGTGATATTTAGTCATATTAAACCCTCCTGTCTTTATGTGAAGATGATTTTGACCCAAGGGCAGCAGGAGGGTAAATTTAAGACAAGTTTAAGATCAACGTGACATTATTTGTCTAATCAGAAGTCAGATTTATGTCACACTGTAATGACAGAAATTATTGAATAGGAACAAAAAAACACTTAAAACAGTTACGTTATATTTTATTTACTTAACAACGTAATATATTTTTCTTTTGCTTAAAAAAATACATCTTGTAATTTTTACCTCAGGAGTAGACAATCAGATCTTTATTTTTTTTTTTTTTTTTTTTTTTTATATGACTCCTCGTTATATTTGGGTTGCTAGAAGAGGACGTTTGTCTGGTGTACCACAGGGTGTTGTCTTTGGTCCTCTTTAATTTAAATTATAACTCAAAACTGCTGTTATTAACAACAAATATAAGAAAATGACAACTCTAAAATCTGGCCAGATCCTAGAAACAGACACAAAATTTGGGACCAGATCAGATCTGGAACTAAAACTTGTAGTAAATAATCAAGAGACCTCAAACAGTGACCATAGGAAACATAAAATGGGCACAACTCAGTTAATTTAGCAGACATTGACCTAAAATTTGAATTGTCCTCAACTCACGGTCTGTGTAGTAAATGACGGTGCGAGATCTTCCGTTAAAACGCTGGCATTCATTACGACGGGGGAAATGTTGAACTTTAAGGAACGCTAGTTTCATTATCTTGGTGTTTACACTTTTATACTGACTTTCTTCAAACCTTCGTCCATAAACATCAACTTTTAACAGTTTGCTAAAACTGTTGCTTGCTCAAGATGAGCCTGCTCCTCAGATAACTTACTTCTTATATGTATGAAGGTTTCTGTTCAGCGCCTGAGACGACTTCTCTTGTGACTTGGAGCTTTAGAAATAAACTGAACTGAAATACAAAACACAGTTTTATCATTTAAAAAGTTTGAAGTTATTACAACACCTGAGCCAATAAAAACATCTACTCAGCATTCCTTGAAGCCACTTCACTAAAACAAATATTTAATAAATAAACAAATTACATTTCGTGTGAAAACCGAATAAACGGAGTATCAAATGACTTTACTGAAATGTGCTGAAGAAGCTGAAACTGAATTAAAGCTAAAAGGAGCAAAACACCAGCTAAAAGGAATAAAAAATTAATAAAAGGAGCAAAAACAGCTAAAAGTAGCAAAGCGTTATCCAAAAGTGTCTAACTGTAGCAAAAGGCTAACTATAAGTATCAAAACATAAGCTGGAAACAGCAATAGCTTAGCTATAAGCTAAGAGTAGCTAAATGTAGCTGAAAAGCTAAAATTAATAAAAAATTAACTAGAAGCTAAGAACTAAAAGTTTCATAGAGCTAGCTAAAAGTTGCAAGTAGCAAAATTCTAGTTAAAAGCTAAAAGTAGCTAAATGTCTGGTAAAAGCTAAGAGTAGCATAAATGTAGCTAGAAGCTAAGAATAGCATAAGAAGACAAGATGGAGCCAGTTTGCTGAAGCAGATTTCAAAGAGAACAACGTTTTATAAGAAGTGAAGAGATCAAAGTGTGAGAGCTTCAACTTCAGCTTGTTCTCGTGAAGGTTCAACATTTCTCCTTCCTGTTCCTCGCAGCACAAAACTTCACTTCAGCCCGACGCAGCGAGTGTGAGTTTCATCAGAGGACAGGAGCGTGTCAGAGCGTGTTCCTGTGAACACGCCTCGACACATACAGGGTTCCATCAAACACGTCCACGGTCACAGGTTCATCTGAAGGAGACTTGCAGACGTCTGAAGACCCTCAGATGCACAGTTAATATCCCAACCAGGACTTTGTTACAATCACAACTTGAAGCTCCGCCCAAACAGGGAGGAGTCACCAAGAATAGAGCGACCTCCACCCAACCAGCTTCCCTTCACTCACGCACACTTCCTCAAAGGCCTCGGCGCTTCGACAGACCTTCAGTGTTTACCAAAGTAATAATCAAACAGTGGAAACTGCATGTTGGCACCAAGACGGTCCCTGTGAAGGTTTTAAAGGTTTAGAGTCGCTGAGTCCGCGTTCGGACTCTTCACGCTTTTATTTGTCCTAACGGTTTTGTTTGTTTGTGGCATCAAACTCTGAATATGCGCTTCTACATGTTATTGTATCGAAACGTTCAGCTCATTCGGCACATAAAATATTTGATTAGCTGGTATTTTGCTACTTTTAGCTGTTTTTTTTGCCATAGTTTTGCTATTTTTAGTCAGTTTCACTACTTTTACAACTTAAATAGCATTTGATTATTTTTGTTTTAAGTGGCTTTTGCTACTTTTAGCATTTAGCCAGTTTTTTTTTGTTTTTTTTTGCTACTGTTGCATTTTTCTACCTTTAGGTAGCGTTTTGCCACTTTGTGTGATGATAAACCTGAAAAGACAGAAGAAGCTGCAAAGACCAGGTCCAAAGATTTAAACCTGAATCAAACTGGTGAAGCTGTGCACGTGTACAGAGCACGGCGAGGCCCAAAAACATGAGTTGTTTTTCTGTTGTTTTGTTATCATTTCTGTTTGTTTACCTTATTTACAGCTGAATGATCGTGGGGAAACGAGGCGTTCTGATTGGCTGATAGTTGATCTGCTCATTTCTAAACAAACCAGAACATAATTAAAGTAACTAAAAATAAAATCTTTTTAATAGCCCTTCCTGAGCTTTATACCGTTTTATTTTTATCTCAAATAATAATTTTCTTCTAATAAACAGATTTTGACCCGTTGTGTTTTCGTCCCTCTCCCTGTGCAGACGTGAGGACTCGGGTCTCGGCCCACCAGAGCAGAATAAATCACCGAGCTTCAAAGAGGAAAGATCATCAACACGCTCCTCTGTCACTAAGAGACCGGACCAACGAGCGCCACTCGGTTTGTTTACTCTCTAACGAGCTTCTGCCTCATTAAAGCAGCCAATCAAAGACGAGTGCAGCGCAACGAGCAGGAAGTGACGTCATCGTGCTTTATTTAGACTCCAGTAAGGACCTGCTGATTAAAATGCACATCTGGTTTACCTTCAAGTCTGAACTCAGGGAGAACTTTCCCACGCTGTGAGCTCTGGCTTCCTCTGCTGGTGGAAAACAGAACCTACATCTTAGAAAATTACTGTTTGGATTTAAAAAAAGATCTATTTAAATGATTAAACATTTCCTTAAATTGTCTTAGTATTGTTATCATTAGCTGTGGCAGCCATCTTGAACTGCATTAGTAAATCAGCTGTAAATGTTCATCCAGTTATTGCTTTCAGTTTCAGTCAAGTCCATTCATTGGTTCTGGTGATATTTTACTGACACATCTGTCATGGCGGTGGGGATAATTAATTATACTCAGGACTCAGGGTGGTCAGTGATGGAGGGTTTTATTTTAACTCATTAAATCCTGAATCACAGCCGGAGACATGGGCTCATCACGGAGTCTCCGAAGTCTCAGAACGTCGGGGCTGAGTCTGTTTCCTCTCGCGGGTCGTAGGGCCCGCTGCCGTTTGGCTGATAAAGAAAGAGGAGCCAGTTGTCACCAGTTACCAACTGGTAAGGACAAGGTGGAAATTCCACCTGGTTATGGGGGGCGGGGTCAGTAAACGGGGACTTTTTAAGAGCGACTTTATCTTTTAAAGGGGCTTTGTTCACTTCCTGGTTACGCAGTCATGTGACTCCCAACAGCTTCTTCTTTTACAAAAATATCAAATGACTTAAACTTTTAGAACAACTCACTGAACTGACGCATCCAGACACGACAATAAAGTCCAAAAATAAAATTAAAATAACCCTAGGGAGGTGTTCTGGGCAGGTCCAGCTGGAAGGAGACCGGGGAAAGACCCAGGAGTTCTTGAGTCAGGTCTTCAGGGTAACCTCAGCTCATGTTGTGAGCTTCTCTTGTCCGTGAGTTGATTCTTTAAATCAGTGGTTCCCAACCCTGGTCCTTGAGGAATGCCATCCTGCACGTTTCGTTTCCCTGCTTTGAACGAACGGGTGATTTACAGGCTTTGGCAGAACTTCAGGAAGTAATAGAATCTCTGAATCAGATGTTGGAGCAGAGAAAAAAGCAAAAACATGCAGGATGGCGTTCCTCAAGGACCAGGGTTGGGAACCACTGCTTTAAATGATTGACAGGAAACAGATTTCCTGTGTCCTTCCTGCGCAGCGTTGACCTCGGATGTGACAACTACCGTGGTCTCTGCTGAAGTTCTCTGTGCAAATGTTGGTAATTATTTAATTTTCTGGGTTATGATCCATTTTCTTCCTGAAAAGAACCGATGAAGTCCCCACACTAACACAAATAACCAGTCAGAAGATGAAGGCAGGCAGAAATGGACCTTTTTATTTATTTATTTTTTCTTGGCGATAAACAAACAGCAGGATTGATCTGATCGGACCGAACCAAACCGGATTAAACCAGTCTAAAAATGGTTTAACCACATTAGAAAAAAAACCTAACTAGCAGGACAACAGTTAAACCCCAGCTGATCAGACTGAACCGGTTTGAACGGGTCTGGACCAGCGGAAAAATAAAGAACGGTTACTTTGTGGTACCATGGTCAGGTCCGATGGGACCTGGTCCAATAGACCATCCTCTTCTCTCCAGGGTGAGAAGAAGCCGAGGGCAGAAACACTGAATCGGGGGAAACGAGAGATGCTGATTGGTCCACAAACTGTGAAGCCCCGCCCATAAGTTCTCTTTCCAAATCCTCCTATTGGTTGCCCACATCATTCACAAAAAAAAAAAAAAACAGAGCAAGCCCTTCTATTGGTCGCCACGTCCTCAGGCAGGGAAGGCCGTTTACTGTTTTCCCATTGGTCCGTTCAGATAATGCTAACTGTCAGTCACTGTCAGCAGCCAATCAGGTTACAGCACCTGCAGAACTTCCTGGAATTATGAAAAGAAATAAAAAAGAACGATGAACAGAGATCAGGCAATAATAAGATCTCATGAAGAGCTTTCCAGCCTCTGATGGAAAATATTTTTCTAGTTTTTTTTTTTTTTTTTTACTTTTCGATTTTTGTCCTTTTTGTCCGTCCATCTGTCCGTTTTGTCCAACTGCAGAAATCAGTGCAATGCATCATGGAACGATTGATCTCTAGGAGAGTGTGTGTGTCACTACAAGTGTGTGTGTGTGTGTGTGTGTGTCCTGTCGTTATGGAAACATGCTGCAGGGTTTGGCGCTCCAGCAGCGAGGTGGTGCCGTGTTGCATCATGGGAAACTCGTTCTGTCCGTGTTTCTTTAGCTGGTGTCCATGGACTCCATGTTGGCGGAGCTGGAGTCTCTCTGGATGGAGTCAAAGATGGCCGCCAGCTCCTGATTGGACGAGATCTGGGACTGGAACTCGGACATCAGCGGCGACTTCTCGGCCTCGGGGATCGTCAGCAGCGCCACGACGGCCCGCATCGCCGACCTCTTCAGCTCGTCCTGCTTCTCGAACTCCTGTTTCACCGAGTTGGCCTTCACCTGCGGAGAGGAGGCGCGTCGTTAAAACGTCACGGCGGCGGCGCATGAACCAACTCCTGCCGCTGGACACTGAGCCGAGGTGGAAGGTTCTGGGTGAGTTATTAAACGGTGAGAGCTCTAAAGTTAGAGTTTTAATTTTAATCCATCTTAAAGTTCAAAGATGTACTTTTACTGCAGGAACTTTGTCCATCCAGAAAGTTTTATTTATTTACTTAGACGTTGTCAGTTTTATCTGCTGGAACAGATCCATGACAAAAGACCACAACACGGGCCTGGACGGAAGACAGAACTTTACAAATGACCCGTTTCTGTGGGGGTTTATGGTTCTGGTCCTCAAGTCTACAGCTTGTCTTCTATTCTAACTCCAGGACAGAGGTGCAGTTGTTCTTTCAGCTGTTCCCTCTTCAGGGGTCTCTACAGCGAGTCCTCTGTCCTCACTCCAACTACCTCCATGTCCTCTCTAACTTCATCTCCCAGTTGTGCTGATCACATCCAACCTGTGGAGCAGAACCACTGACAACATTTAGCATCAGACCGTCTACTTCTACCTTCAGACACGTCACCCTATCTGACACTCTTTTCACCTCTACTACATTCTTTGCCAGCTCCTCCTTCAGGACCACCCCTACTCCATTTCTCTTTCTATCCACACCATGGTGAAACAGTTTGAACCCTGCTCCAATGCTGCGAGCCTTGCTGCCCTTCCACTTGGTCTCTTGGACACATAAAACATCTACCTTCCTTCTCAGCATCATGTCAGCCAGCTCTCTACCTTCCTT